GTGTTAGTGAAGCATACATTTTCACAATGTACAAGTACTAACAAGTATGTTAATAAACCACTATCCTAAATCTTTTTTTTTCTATAATTATATTTTATTAATTTTCATAAACATTTACAGAGATTTTGGGCTTCCACTCATTCATTGTTGCACTATTCTCTCTACCCTCCTCCCAGTTTGTTCTTGTCCAAATGCCACAGTGCTTGTCAAAGCCAGTTAAGTTTGATAGATATTATTACATTACCAGGAAAGCCTATAAAGAGTAAGAAAAGAAGCTAAACTAAATTATTATATTACCAGGAAAGCCTATGAAAAGTAAGAAGAGAAACTAAACTAATTTTAAAAGTCGTCTCTAAATGAAGAGTGAAGACAAGAATCAGGGGAAGAGTACGAGCACACAGATGAATGAGTGATTTCCACAGTCGTTATCTGAAAACGTCTTATAAGTGAGTAAGAAACAAATCCGTTTAGAAAGAGGCAAGGATATGAGGAAATGGTATTCAGGAAAAGAAACAAATGCCCCAGAAACTTACAGGAGAATGTTCTAATGTACTGGAAACTAGAGGAATGCAAATGAATGATGAGATTTATGACTATCAGATGACAAAAAATTAATATTTGGTTATGATAAAAATGTGCACCCTCATAAAAGTAATAATGGTATAAAAGTATAACTAGATAGTTTTTTGGAGCACAGTTTGGCATTGCTTATAAAAAATTAAAATGTAGATGTCCTTTGAATGGACAGTTACACTACTAGCAATTTCATCTATAAAAATATGTATGTGTAAAGTAAATATATATAAGCAAAAAGCTTGGGACCACCTAAAAACGCATCTCTTGGAAGAGTAGATAAATTGCTTTACATCCCAATTATAGCATAGTACACTGGTGGCATAGTGCCAAAAGCTGCAGTGCAATCCCGAAGACATGGGGTTCGAATCCACCAGCTGCTCTATGGGAGGATGGGCAAGTAGTGGTTAAACACTTGTCTGCTAACCAAAAGGTCAGTGGTTTGAACCCACTGGCTGCTCTGTAGGAAAATGATACTGCAGTCTGCTTCTGTAAAAATCATACCCTTGGAAAACCTATGGGAGACTCTCCTCTGTTCCACAAGGTCACTGTGAGTCCGGATCAATTCAAGGGCAGCAGATATTCATTGTTTGAAAACAACAGAATAATTGTTTGCACTAATGAGGAGTAGCCAGGAAATTAAAAGACGTATTGCCATGGGAAAGTCTGCTGTTAGGGACCTAGCCAAAGTACTGAAGAGCAATGGTGTTCTCTTTGGAGACCAAGGTGCGTCTGATACAGGCCATGGCCTTTGCTATCACTTGTTATGCATCAGAGAGTTGGGCAGTGACCAAGGAGGATAGAAGGAGAATTGATGCCTTTGAGCTGTGGTGCTGGAGAAGAGTATTGAATATACCACGGACTGCTAGGAAAACAAACAGACTCATCCTGGAAAGGGTTAAACCAGGCTACTACTTGGATGCAAGGATTCTGAGGCTCCGTCTAACATACTTTGGACATGTTGTAAGGAGGGACTGGTCCTTGGAGAGGGACATCATGCTTGATAGGGTGGAGGGACAGTGCAGGAGGGGAAGGCCCTCTAGGAGGTGGATTGATTCAGTGACTGGGGTGATCGGGATGGGTGTATCAGAGACAGTGCGATTGGCACAGGACAGAGCAGAGTTTAGGGCTGTTGTACATAGGGTCGCTATATGAGTCACAAGCAACTCAATGGCACATAACAACAACAACAGTGAAGAGTACTGGCATTTGGTATTCTGACATATTGGGAAAGTAAGAAATGTGGGTAATATAATCCTACTGGGTTCAGTCATCTTTGTATAAAAACCAAGGTGGGGGGAGATAATGTCACCAAGCTTAGGGTCTTCACCTCCAAGAAGAGCAGTGAGGGAGGAATGGGAAGGTGAGATGTTGGGAGTGCAAACTGGGACTTTGACCTTCTTGATACATCTCTGCATTTGTTGACACGTTTTTTTCAGTGAATATCTATTATGATTTTAAAAAAGAATTAAATGATTCAGTCTTAAGTGTAAAATTCTTATATTAAAAGTATGAATGTCTACAAACAAGAGGTTAAAAGGCAACAGAGATCTCATTTCCCCTTGCCCAATGACTCCTGACATTTTGGAATAAAGGAGGGAAATGAGTCTAGCAGAGCTCATTCAGTAGAAAATATAGATAATTTGGATGGTGTTCGAGTGTCTTTGGGGGAGAAGGGGGGCTGAATTTTATCCTTGGGTCCTTTGCTTGTTGCTGTTTGACATGGGAAAACCTTTGCCTTCAACATCTGGTTAGGCTTTCTATCTCCATTCTGCAGGTAGGGCTGACCTAGTTTTGTGAGAGAAAAGATTAGAGAAAAAGAATGCAGAGAGAGGATCTGCTGAAAGGTGCAGTGTTATTTTCAAGACTGTTCATGAGTGGCTGTTAGCTCAGCATCTGAGAAGGCCACCATGAAATGAGAAATAATCTTTGTAGAAACCAAACTCTCAGATAAGCCCGTTGTGAGGAGTGAGGTGAGCATAACATAGATAGAACATGAAAGATTACGTGACCAAGAAGACAAGGGTGTGTATGTGTGTTTAAATTCCTTAGAACATTTATATAGCAACAAAACAGAACCTTCTAATGTAGCCTAGTAAACAGAATACTGAAATACTAAGGAAGAACTCGAAGCAACTTGGAGCAATTAAATTTAGAAAGTCGTAATTAAGAAATTTTTCCAAAGGGTAGGAGAAGGGGGTGTGTGTGGTGTGTGTGTGTGTGTGTGTGTGTGTGTGTGTGCGCGCACGCACGCACGCACGCACTGGGTAGCTTTGTTAATAAGTTCAAGGAGAAATATGTAAAGGGAAAATAAAATCCCTGTTTCACTCAGATATTGCTCATTTTCCGAGACAATGTCAAGAGGCACAAGATCAAATCTAGCTTGACACCATCCAGTACAGAGCTCAGTAGTCGCAGGAAGCTGGAGCTGCAGTTTGGCTAATGAGAAATCTCCATCCTCTGCCAGCGCCTCAGGGGCCCAGCTCTTCCTCTTTGGCAACCAGGATACAAAGAGAGCTCAAAGCAGAGTTACGACCTAAAAGGTCACCCAGAGCATTCATTTTGCAGACTCCCCCGTTGAGCCTTTCCAGAAAACACGGGCTTGGTTTCACAGTTTAGCTAGAATCCCTGCCAATGGCCTTCGTGCTTCAACCTGGGGTAGGATTTAATGAAACCTCCCACCACAAGCTGTGAGGAAGAGGAGGAGAAGGGGCCAACCACAGCCCAGTTGTTTCGCTGTATCGCCTCCCTTCATCTCTGGGTGTGAAAGGAGCAATTGAAAAAAATCAGATGACATTAAAAAGTTAAGACTCAGAGCTCCCAACATAAATATTCCGGAGCCTGTCGTTAAGTTTGATTTCGCCAGTAAGGCACATTCAGAAATGCAGTAACACAGTTGTTCTGACAGCGTGTCTGCGTTCCAGTGGCTCAGTCTGTAGAACGTTCAAGTTCAAGTTTAGACATCTCCATTGTGTCTTTTCTCATTTTTAAAATAGCCCTGGAGCCTGTCCCCATCTCACCACCTCCACTGTCCCTCTTCATGCGTGTGGGGGTGATCACAACAGCTTGGCATCTCACCTCCTCACTCCAGTCTCTCCCGCCTCAGTCCCTCCATCATGTCACCTGGGTCTCCTTTCCAGACGTCAGCAGCCTGTGTCACTTCTGTGTGCGGAATCCTTCAGCGACCTTCAGACCTTTGTAAGAGCCTGGCCACTCACCTTCATGGTCACACCCCTCTCCCCACTCTGTGTTATTCTCTCAGTGCTGTAATGATTCACAATTCTGTGCAAAGTCTTAAAAAAATGCAACAAGCTCTCTAGTTTGTTTTGTCCCTGGAGTGCCGTTGTTGCCAGTTACTCTTTGTCTCGGGACTCAACTTTGCAAGTGCCACCTCTGGGAAGGGTTCCATAACCTCCCCGGGGACAGGAACGCTTGCCCTCTGCCCTCTCAAAGCGTGTGATGCTTGTTTCTCTCTCAGCACCTGCATTAGATCTCATTGACTAGCTGCTGGTCTGGGATGGTTCTAGCTCCCTGGCTACCCTAAAAAAAAAATCATTTTAAAAGTCACAATCGGGGGGAAGGTTGGGGGGGAAGAAAAGTGCAACAATGAATGAACGGAAATGCAAAGGCTCTGTAAGTTTTCATTGAAATTAGTAATAATTAAAAAAAGGTCACAGTCGTGCATTGCTGTCCACTGTGCCTTGTAGAGGAGGTCTGGCATGTAGTTGGTGCTGCATACATGTATTTAGAGAGGAATGACTGCATGCATGCATGCATGCACTTTTTGTCTTTTTCTCCCAGTGAACATGTGTGGGTCTTTGATTTGCCAGATGTGACATGAGTGAAATCATTCAGCCTGCTGCCTTCTCAGGGATATAGTAAGGATGAGTGAGATGGTATTAGGATCAATGAATACAAGACTCTTGCCCCTCACCTTGGAGTATCATTGAGTTGTTACTACTGGGTCTCTCTCTCTCTCCTCTCCCTCTGTCTGTCTCTGTTTGTCCCTCTGTCTCACTCTCTCCTTGTCTCTCTCTCTGTCTGTGTGTGTCTCTCTGTCTCTGTCTCTGTCTCTATCTCTGTTTCTGTTTCTCTCTCTGTCTCTATCTCTTTCTGTCTCTGTCTTTCTCTTTGTCTGTCTGTCTGTCTCTCTCTCTCTCTGCTCCTCGTTGCCTCTCTTTGCCTCTCTCTCTCTAGACCTCTGTTGACTTAGTGGGTAAGACCAACCCACTTAGCGGGTTATGCTGCCAACCCAAAGGCAAGCAGTTCAAATCCACCAGCTGTTCCACAAAAGATGAGAAATCACCTATAGCCTCTGAAAGCCCACCGGAGGGTCAGCTATGTGTCAGTTTTGATTTGATGTCAATGGAGATACAGACTGAGTCTGTCTAGAGTGGCCATGATTTAAAACTAACTTACTGTTTCAGGTCAGCTGTTGCCAGCAAACCGCAATACACCCAGTCCCATCGATCCTGACACCATCCAGGTCCCAGTGGGCTATGAGCCAGACCCGGCAGATCTTGCTCTCTCCAGCATCCCTGGTCAGGAAATGTTTGATCCTCGCAAACGCAAGTTCTCCGAGGAAGAACTGAAACCACAGCCCATGATTAAGAAAGCTCGCAAAGTCTTCATCCCCGATGATCTGAAGGTAAATTGGAACTGGTAATCAGGTTAAGGGCAGGTGGAGAGTGGGGGCAGGAGGCAAGCGGAAAGAGGGACACGGAAGGTCACATCATTTAGTGAGTGAGTGACTCAGGACTTCTGGCCTTCCTCCTTGACATGTGAGTCTAGGCATGTCACTTCCTGGGTGCCTTCTGAAATTAGCCTTTCATGTCGTGGTAATGCATAGGAATAAGGAGAATCAGTAAAATGTTCCCATGAGGGAAGCAAAACTACTATCTACAAGGAAACCTATGAAAACCACTAAAATCCCACCAAACTGTTTCAGGGTTGGAAACAGAAGGGTAATTATTGGGGAGACACACCTGGACCTTAGAGTTCTCCAAGGGTTACCTTCCCTTTGGACGTTTCTGAATAATGAATGGCTGCCATTTCCCACAAGCCTCAGGGAATAGCAGCCAAAAGCATGGCCCCTCTCCTCAGTGCCAAACCTGGTTGACCAGGGTGGGATTTTATAAAGGAACCTCGTGGGTTCTCTGACCCTACGTGTAATATCCCTTTTGTATATTATCTCAACAAAAAGGTTAACTCTGGGTGGATTTTCTGTCTTCTATTGACGGGACACATTATTTATAAAGGATAATGCATTTACCTTGGGAAATTAAATACAACTTAAAAAACTTAATCTGACACATTTAATGATACCTTGGGAGCAGAGAATTCTGCTTTTCAAAATTATGCTACATCTGATAGTTCCAGAATAGTTTTGCTTAGCCTTTGCCTAGAGATTTTTGAATATATACTTCTTTCCAAGAATATGGATACCAGAGATATGAGTATATAACCAAGGCATTGAACTAGGTATAGTTAGCCTTTTTTCTAACTTCTGACCTCATTCTCCAAACCTAAATATGGTTTACAGATAGAGTAGCTTCTATACTGAGAAAAATGGGTGTTTGAAACATGGTACTGATTTAGACTAGTTATTTCTGCTTTTAATGTCTATCTAGAAAGAATGCTGGGGAGTGGGGCAGGGAATCAAACACCCAGAAGATTTAAAGCACTACCATTGTCCACATCTCTAAGGGGATGTTCTGTGATGCACAAATATAGATGGCCAAGGCTGAAAGGGACTCATTAGTCCAAAGCTGCCATCCTGTACCTGAAGAAATAGGAAAGGAGAAATTAGGTAACACTGCTAGGTAGAGGCAGGAACAGCCTCTCCCCAGGTCTACCTTCCTGAAAGGTCCCTGTAGCATGATGACTCTTACAGAGGCTTCATCTCAAGTAACCTTGAGTAAATCCAATAGTTGTCAGCTTGAGACTCGGAAAAGGAGAGAAAAGTAGAGGTTGGTCCTGTAGACCCTGCACAGGGAAGTTTGAATATATTCATTGTGTCTTTTCTGAATTCTTGCTAAACTAAGAATAAGAGAGGCATCATAAATTAAATCCTGAGCAATTTTGTATCTTCTTTCACTTGGATACTTTTCCTGGTCTGATGTTTTTAGTAATCCAATTCTGTCTTTCAGAGGTGTCTCTTGAACAAATCCAGGGTATCCATCCAGCATGGACTCCCGATTGCGTGGAGGGTGGTGGTTTGAAAGGAGGCTGCTGAGTGATAGATGTAACTTATGTCAGACCCTCAGAGTGTGCACATTTACGTACTCAAAGCAAAGGCAGGATTACTTAGTAACCCAGGTAACCTTGGCAACACAGAGGCTACGTGAAAACCATCTGTGCCGGAATTATACCTGTTACTGCTGCTGGGCCAGGTTTGACGTTTTCACATAGTGAGTCCTGCCGTGTGCCCTCAGTGTTTTCTGTTTAGTTGAGAGTGAATCGTCAAGCCACCAAGGATAAGCTGGTCGAAAGCAGGAAGCTGAGCCACGCCATAGTTCTCCTTTTAGCAGAGAAGACTAAGTAGGGAAGGAAAGAAGGTGTTTGTGGTCCCCAGAATGGGAGGAGCTAACTGGTGGAGTACAGTGGCCCCAGCCAAAACTGGTCTTCCCCACAGGTACTTGAGAAGTTCCTTTGGGTTGGCATGCATCTCCTCGGAGAATCAAGGAGGGCGAGGGATTAATCACTTTGATTTCTTAATACTCTTCAATGTCCATCTAATCACTTGGTGAATAATATTAAGAGGCAATGCCAAGTCCTACCATAGGAGCTGGGGATACATGGTAGCCAACCCCCTGCCCTCATGGAGCTTCAAGTCTGGCAAGGAAAGGCAATGTTGACCTACTTGTCAGGGGGATTTGGCTAGTAAAGCCATATCAGATGTGAGAGCTGTAGAAAGACGATGGAGCAGGGCTGATGGAGCCAGCATCATTACTGGCTGGTGGTACCTGGGCAGCCAGGTGACGGTGATACCTGGGCAATAGAGGAGAAAGGTGCAGGTCATATAGTGCTTCTCCCTTTTCAACCACGCTATGCTGGCAAGAGAGGCAAACTAGATATTCTAGTCCAGGACATTCCTTCTGCCCTCACTCCTGTCTGTTCTGTCTCTACTCCACTCCTACTCCCAGCTGGCTCTCACCTGAATAAAATTCCCCATTCCTCACCTTTGCCAGCTCATCTGCATGTGTGGACAGATGAGGTAAAGGAAGTGAAAGCACTCTGTGAGAGCAGTTCTGGGAGATGGGAGGTAGCTATTCTCCTGAGGGCAGCTGGTGACTGCCAGCTTATGATCTGTAGAGAAGCTGGCATTCTGTCTGTATAGGGTGCCAGTACCAGCTTGTGGGCAGATACAGCTGCCCACACACACACAGTTGCCATCTCACACTTTCTGTCTTTGTGCAGGGCAGCTGTCTCTCAGAGGTAGACCCATGACCTTGACCTGCTCCAATCTATGCAACCTTTCCCAATGCCAGCCGCCTCTTGGAATCATGGGGGAGGTTAAGAATGGGCTCACCCACTTACTCTAGGTGGCATGTACCTGCACGTATTCCCTTTACTTAGACAAAAGGAGTTGCTCATGCAGGTTTTGGGAAGAAAAGAGTGCAAATCAGGTAGCACCAGAATGCACTGGGAGATACTAAAAGGAGATTCACGTCTCAGACTTTCCAGGAAGCTCTTCCTTTCTTCAGGCCAGGGGAGAGGGCAGCAGTGGAGATAAAGGGGGCCTGAGTGCGCATTAAACCACATTTAAACATTACCCAGGTTAATGGAGTTCCCAGAGGACAGTTGCAGGAAAATATCTGAATGCTGCCCACCAGTGAATACACTGACCAGTGGCAGGTTGAAGCTGTCAAAAGAAATTCTGCTTTTGCTTATTAAAGAGTTCACCTCCACTGTAGAAACTAATCATTCAGGAGGATGCAATGTCACAGATGAAAGTACTGTTTTTAATCACTAATATTAATCCTTCTTGGTATTTTGTCTATGAATTTATAATTTGGGAAGATTTTAAAAATCAGCACAGGAAGAGGCCTTGCAAATTTCCTTTGCTTCCACCTACATCGTGAGATAGCCTGACCATTTTCCAGTTCTTAGTCATTATTTTTATCAGCTGCAGAGTACTCTTTTGTATGACTGTCGTGATAGGCAGGAATAAGATGGGCAATCTCCTCCTGTGCCATTTGAAAACCTGCCAGAGGGTCAGCTATGACTTGGTTCTGATGCCACAGCACATACCACCACCATTACATGCTTACTAAATCTCTTCTTGAGGCTAGAGCTCTGGTGGCCTAGAGTGTAAAGAGTTGCACTACCACCTCAAAGTCACATGGCTTGAATCCACCAGCTGCTTAGCAAAAGAAAGTCTCTTCCTGTTTCATTTTCAGAGGACTAGCGAGAGCACACAATAACAACACTGAAGAATAATTCCCTTTTCCCCATTTTTTGTATGACATGCAAGGCTGCAGTAAAAATTTTATACTTGCATCTGTGCACACAGCAGGAATATTTCCATAGGAGGAAATCTGGAAGAAGGACTGCTAGCTCAAAGGATATGTGCTTTAAATTGGTGGTAGATAGTGACAAATTGAGGAACCCTGGTGGTGCAAACTTAAGCACTAAGTTGTTAAGGGAAATCTGGTTAGTAGTTGGAGCTTGCCCAGTGGCTTGCGGGAGAATGACCGGACAGCGACCTGGCCATCTGCTATCATAGAGATTTCTGCCTAGGAAACCCCATGGAGCCATTCTGTTCTGTGACATGGAGTTGCAAGGAGTTGCAAAATCCACCTGAGAGTGTCTAACAAGAGCCACAATTCCAAGTTGCCTCCCAGATCCTTTCTTTCAATGTATATGCACGCCAAAAAGCACAGGAGACACTTGAGGAGGGAAAGGAAGACTTACAATTTTAAGCAGGATGAGTCTGGAGATGGGGGAGTATGTAGGTCTTGTGGTAAGCCCCTTGCTTCCATGGGGCCCTGATCTCTGCCCCATAGGCACGTAAGATGCCTTAATGGACATAAGCAGAGAAGGAGCCTGTTGAGACAAGTTGGCCTTTGTTTTGAGAATAAAAGCCCTGCGGCCCTCCCGGACCAGCCCCACAGGATCCAGCAGGGGCCAGGGGAAGAAGACACAGTTCGAAAAGCCCAGCCTGAAAAGGAGGAACACTGCATAGTGTCACTACTGTAGAATGGGACAGAGATCAGGGTTGGGGTAAGAATGAGAAAAACTGGATGAATTATGTAAACTACATTGAAACGGATGAGGGAGAGAACAGTTTAAAAGCAATATAAGGCATTATGATTATCATAAGAGTCTGGAATGAAGGTTGCAGAGTGGAGTATACTGGGGTGCGGGGGTGGGGGATTGTATGCTAATGAAGGAATTTTTCTTTTACTTTTCAAAGAGAAGAAAGAGCGAATGGGGGGGGGGCGGAGAGAAAAGTGCAACAATGAATGAATGGAAATCCAAAATCTCTGTAAATGTTCATTGAAATTAATACTAATAATAATGCCCAGCCTGGTGCCCCCGCGCGCACGGCGCTGCAGCCTGCCAGCGCCCCGGCCGCCGCTGGGCTTTGCTGAAATCTAATATCTTCCTTCTCTCTCCTTCTCTAACTAATGAGCAGGATGACAAGTACTGGGCGAGGCGCAGAAAGAACAACATGGCAGCCAAGCGCTCCCGCGATGCCCGGCGGCTGAAGGAGAACCAGATCGCCATCCGGGCGTCGTTCCTCGAGAAGGAGAACTCGGCCCTGCGCCAGGAGGTGGCCGACTTGCGGAAGGAGCTGGGCAAATGCAAGAACATACTTGCCAAGTACGAGGCCAGGCACGGGCCCCTGTAGGAGATGGCATTCTTGCGGGCTGGCGTTTGACTAGATGGACAGCTTGTTTCCTGTCTGATAGCACCACACCCAAACCAACCTTTCTGTCATCAGCACTTTACCAGAGGCACAGACACAACTGACTCACATTTCGGTGTGCATCTCCGTGCGTGCGTGTGTATGTGCTTGTGCTCATGTGTGTGCGTTTGTGTTGTCAGCCGTGTGTGCGTGCGCGTGTGTGCGTGCACTCCTTTGCACTTGCCATTTGAAGAAGCCCTCTCTCCATCTTTTTGTTCCAAAAGAGAAAGGTGCCATGTTTCTACTGGACTGGGGAGACCCCTCGTGGGCCTCCCTCCCTTGTTCCCTTCTCCTCTCCTCCCTTTGCAAAGTTAGCTTCTGTTCTCTTGCAGGACCCACACCTTGGAATTTAATGGCAAGGGCCATCGTAAAGCTCAGTTTTCAAGCAAGAGTCCACACTCTTGTTTATGTTTAATCTGTTAAGTTACCATGCTAAGAAGGTGCATAAAAATAACTTAGCACTACAGTGCAGCTGTATTAATTTATAGATTGCTTTCCTCATTATTTTCAGTTTTGGTGATACTTGTCTTCAAATTTGAAGTGCTGTTTAGATTTATTAGGTCCCACATTTACGTAATTGCTATCGACTAAGTTTCCTTTCACTTCTGCCAACCCCAGATAATTAAGAGTACTATTAGCGAACACAGAGTGTGTTTTTGCACTGTCTGTACCTAAAGCAATAATCCTATTGTACGCTAGAGCATGCTGCCTGAGTATTACTAGTGGACGTAGGATCCTTTCCCTACCTAACAATTTCACTGTCTTTTATAAAACAGAAACCTTAAAGTAATGCATTGAGCATGCCCAGAACATCCCCAGGACAGAGAAGCAGAGGGAAATGCAAGGTTTAAGAATGAGGGGTTAATTTACATGAGCCAAAAAAGAAAAAAAAAAGAGTCTTGGAACCCTGTTTTTTACCTTGAGTGTTTAGTTGGGTTTTCTCTCCTTTTCTCATATGTCTCCCCTCCCACTGTCCTGTTTCTGCTTGACATTTTCCATATTCCTCTTGATATGCAGAACAATTCAATTACAATTCGTTGTCCCCATTTTTGTAATATATCTATTTTTGTGATTCACACCCGCTGTTTTTAAAATTCACTTAAGTTAATAGGTTGATGTTTTGTAAGACCCTTTTCCCTAATGGTGTCCTTTTTGAATGCCTCTTAAATTAATGGTCTGGAGCTTATGTTGCTTATTCTGTGTTTGCTTTCGGACATATGTACTCTTATAAAGTGGACTTCTGAAAAATGAATGTAAAAGACACTGGTGTATCTCAGAAAGGGGATGGTGTTGTCACAAACTGTGGTTAATCCAATCAATTTAAATGTTTACTATAGACCAAAAGGAGAGATTGTGAAATTGTCTAATGTTTTTACAGAGTAACTATAGGAAGTTCTTTTTTTGTACAGTATTTTTCAGATATAAATACTGACAATGTATTTTGAAAGACATATATTATATATAGCAAAGAGAAAAGGAAAACTATTCCATGTTTTAAAATTATATTGCAAAGATATATATTCACCAATGTTGTACAGAAAAGAAGTGCTTTGGGTTTTTGAAGTCTTTAATATTTTAAGCCTATTGCTGACACATCAGCATGTTTTCTGCTTTAAATTAAAATTTTATGACAGTACCAAGGTTTGCCGTGACGAATCCTTCTCCTAAACTCACAAGGAGCATCCTTATTTCCTATTTGGTCTCAGAGAGGAGTCCATTAATGCCACCCAAAAGCACAAAATGGATTTTAGTCAAATATTTATTGGATGATGCAGTGTTTTTTTTAGGAAAAGCATCTGCCACAAAAATGTTCACTTCAAAATCGCGAGTTTCTGGAATGGAGCAGTGTTGCGAATGTCCTGAACAATTCTGATCTCCTCTGCAGGAACGTGTATCTTTTTATGCAGTCTCAGGTTGATATTGGTGCTACGCATGTGGTTTATAACTTGACAAGACGTTTTGACTTTAAAGAGGATGGGCTCTTTTGTTTCCACGAGTTGTATAATGTCAAGAGAGGCTGATGTTACTGCAAAGGAACATTTTGTGCTAGATTAAAATACCCTTTCATCAGTGGGATTGTTCAGTTTCCTGCCTCCTAAATTCTGTCAAGTGATCTGGTGGTCTTCCTGTCAGTCTATCGGTGGTGGCTCACAGTGTCATTGTCTTGGGAAACCAGACTAGTCGGATGCTTCCCCTAAATATCCATTTTGTCCCCAGTTCATAGATCATAGGGGAATATGGGAAAGTATTGGAATTGAAATTCAGTGTGCAGGTGACTAACTAATCAATTAAAGAATTCTAAAGTAGAACTGAGAGGAAAATATATGAATGGAAATAGTTTAAGACTAGTCCAGCAAATCAGTCTTTGTGTATTAGTGGAGACGCTTAGCAAGAAAATGTTTTCCAGAGAGTTGAACCTTTAAGTGAAGTGCTGATGATTGCACATTGGACCATTCAAATTCAATAAAGTATAGAATGGTAATTGGGGGGGGGCAGGGAATCCACCAATAAAACTTTATTTTAGCAGCATTGGTCTTTCTTGGCATTCGGTTGTTTGTATCCAGTGATCATTATAAATGTTTTCTGCAGAAGAAATAAAAAAAGAAAGAAAATATAAAGCTTATTGTTTCATGTGTCAGGAAAGGTTTCAGAAACCTACCTCGTCTTAATAATTGAAACACTTTGGAGTCTGTACAGGTGCCTTATATGTAGGTAATTTACACCACACGTGTGCTCGCGCATGCACGTATGTGCTCCTGGACTCATTACCTGTCTGCTCGAGGCATCTAACTAGTGAATAAGTCAGTTCTGCTAAAGAAGTAAGTTGATTGGCTTGGATCAGCCAAGGTTGCATGAATCCCAGCAGATTCCCACTATTATTAAGAGTCCTGTTGTCATTTTTCACCACTTCATCTTAAGCATGTTTCCAGAATTAATTACTTGGCCATTAAAAAGGAACACAAACCGCACCATGCCAACTTTATGGAGTACAGTTTGCAATGAAAGGCACAGGATTTTCTGGCAAAGTCACCTTGTTGTTTCTTTTGACAACACTTTACGAAGGCATACGTGGGCAGCTTATGGTCCTGCTTCTGCTACCTTGTAAGGGTTGATAATGGAAGAGAAGGCTGTGAAGGCTCGCTTCCTTTTAATCTTTCATAGTAGTCAAGAGTCAAGACTGTGCTAGGCCTCTGAGAAGGCATTCCTCGAGGCTGAATAACTGGGACACCACCGATGGCTTGCTGGTGGGAAGTTGCACTAGATAACCCAGGAGGATGCTTCTAACTCACTTGTTTTGGGAAGAGGGCTCAATAATTCTAAAGGTTAATTTTATAGAGTCAATGCTCTATTTATCAGAATAGTCAAAACGTGTTAAGAGAAAGCCTTCATCCCTGAGAGTAAAATATATTTGTAAAATACAAGGCTATACCCTAGATTTACAATAGTTTATTTCTGTTTCTTTGGATGTGCCTTTTAGGAAACACCAAAATTACCCCCGTTAATTAGAATGATCCCAAGGAGGTGTGTGTGGCCTGCTTGGCTGTGTGTGGAGAGTAGAGACAGGGATGTTACACCAGCTCAACACATTGCAGATGACACTAGGCAAGATGCTCAGCCCTTTAATCACAGACCCTTTCTGCCCTCTGTCTTGTCACCTTCCTGCCGAGAGCCCCTGCTCGGGAGGCCACAGGCTCCTCTGGGTTTCCTCTCTGATTAATCTATTCCATCTCATTACAAAAACCTGAGCAAAGCCTTTTCTAGCTGTTGACAGATTAGATAGAGAAATGAATACATTCTGCAGAGAGGTCTGGTGAGCAGAGGGTTGCATTTCCAACCCAGAGGCAGAGGGTTCAAATCTACCAGTTGCTCCAAGGGAGAAAGACAGACAGTCTCCTTCTACACAATTTATAGCTGTCTGTTCTGACTCAATGACAATGAGTTTGAATTGTTGTGTTTTTTTCTTTTTAAAGTGTTTATAGGTGCATGGGGGGGTTGTGTGAGAGAGAGAGGGAGAATAGTGACTGTTTCAGTAAAGATGTAAAATTTTTCATTTTGGAGCACGTTCTCAAATATGACAATAATCCACTGTTATCCTTTTACCAATACCACAAAGGTTGCATCTGTTAAACACATACAGGTTACCATGAGGTCTGCTGAATTGTGCACCATGACATTGGTGGGATGACTCTGTTAAATCCAAACCTTTATCTGTTATTCCTGATGTTTAATAAACTTTGGATTTTTTTTCCTTTCTTTCATGTATTTTGGTTAGCAATTATGTTCCTGCTCTGATAGCTAAGATATCGTTTATAGAGGTTGTTAATGACATGACTGAAAAAAATGATGATATGTGTGTCATCAATCTGGTTCCAACTCATTGTGACCCAATAAGATAGACAAGAACTGCCCCACATGGTCTCCTAGGTTACCATGGAAACACAGATGAACAGAAATGGTACCAAGCACAGATCATTGGATCATTTCTCCTGGGAAGTGGCTGGTGGGTTTGAACTGCTGACCCCTCATTTCACCACCAAGGATCCTTATGAAATGATAAAGCTATGCTTAGTAAAAAAATAACATTTCTTTGAAAAGCTCTGTCTCACATACTTTGGTTATATGGCCAGGAGGGACCGATCCTTGGAGAAGGACATCGTGCTTGGAAGCGCAGGAAAGGAAGACCCTGGATGAGATGAATTAGATACAGTAACTGGTCAGTGAGGGTAGATGTGTTGGAGTTGGTGAGACTGGCTCAGGACAGGGCAGGCTTTCGAGCTGCTGTACATAGGGGTCACTATGAGTTGCAGACAACAGGACATCACAGCAACAACAAAATGTCTCATGTTAGATACTGGGCTAATAAGTTAAATGTTGTTGTTGTTTTTATGTGCCTTGGAACCAGTACGAACTCATAGCTGACCCTCCAGTGAGTTTCCAGAGAGAATTTCCCATCTTTCTCCCATGGAGCAGCTGGAAGAGTCAAACTGCGTACCTTTAGGTTGGCGGTTGTTGTTGTTATGTGCCGTCGAGTCACCTGTGACTCATAGTGACCCTGTGTACAATAGCTCTGAAGCCTACCCTGTCCTGAGCCAGTCAGTCTAACTGACTCTGATAACACCCACCCCCATTGCCCAAGTTACTGTATCAATCCATCTCATGTGAAGTCTTCTCTTGCATTGTCCCCCCACCCTTCTGAGCATGATGTCCTTCTCCAAGGACCAGTCCCTCCTGACCCTGTGCCCAAATTATGTGAGTTGGAGCTTCAAAATCCTAGCCTCCAAGGAGAAACTTGAGTTCACCCTCTCCAATACAGACCTCTTTGTCTCCTGGCAGTCCATGGTATGTTCAGTACTTCTCTCTAGCACCAAAACCCAAAGGCATCCACTCTTCTGCCATCTTTAGTCATTGTCCAGCTGTCTGATGAATAGAAAGTAGTTGTGAAGACCATGGCCTGGCTTAGGTGCACCTTAGTCTCTAAACTGACA